TAAACCAACAAGGCCGGTCTCTTCGCACCCTCGCCAACTCAACGCATCCCGGCGGTCTGCTGCAGCCGTGTGTTGGGTTGTACAAGGGTCCTGTGAAAGAAATGTCAGCTTATGACCACATAAACCCTCCGATTCTGAGACAAGAAAAGTTGCATACTTACTAAAGCCACGGCGGGTTCTCCTGCCCCTGTAGCAGGCTCCCATTTCGAGACATCTTCCGCTGGCATGAATATAGACGGGTTTGATATCCGGAGTTTGTCATACTCTTTACTTGCTTTCTCATGACGGCGCTGTTGAAAGTTGCCATCAACACAGACAATGTATTGAGGGCCTTTCTGGATTCCTTGTGACCCAGCGGGTCCAAAACACCTAGGACAGTTATATGCCAGCTTCTCTAACGGAGTGAGATTCAGGCTACGACTCTCGAGATCCTCAATCATTTTCAATATCTGGCGATAACAGTAGACAGCTGCTGAGAGAGGTGTTCGCCATAGTCGAGGCTGGCACCAGATTCAACTTGGTCAGTTCAAGTTCGATCAAAATCCAAACCGAAATAAAATCATACCTCGTGAGTTCCAGACACTTCAATCAAAGGATTGTTAGCATCAAGATATTTATCTATCATCAAAGAAAAGGGTTGAATATTTGAATGACAATATGCCCAGGATAAGTGATAAAATCGAAGCAGCCTCAAAGAAAAAGCAGTCTCAGGATTCACTGGGGATCCTCCCAAATATCCATGGTTGATGAGGCGGACCTGATCAGGCGTACAGCTACAGAATTCGAAAGTGATCTTTCTACGATCTAGTAACTTGAACATTAGCTCGGTGTCAAAAGAAGACTTTCGGACAAAATGACCACTCACAAATCAAGTCTACAGTGTCTACAGCACGAAAACGCTTATGACGTTGATCACATGAGCAAGCTTCATCTTTGTTGAAGTCATGATCCCACATCTCATCATTGCCCCAGCTTGATGTACGCTCGGAGCACTTCATGAATGCGATGAAAATCTTTTGCATTATTCCCCTCCAATGTGCATCTTGCTGTAAGCGACGATTCTTGTAGTCGTTTCCTGAGACCAACCGGACATAAGTTGATTCCTCACCTTCGGAATCGGAGGAAACTTGATCGATTGGTTCTTCGTCGCATAAGTCTTGTTCGTTTGGTGATGGGTAGATGACATCGCGTTCATTATTGTCATCATCTGAACACAGATGTTCGAGGTTGTTATCGTGAGGGTTTGGAGGTCCGCGTTGAAGAGCTAGGCTGATTTCTTCACACTTTCACATACCCCATCTTTTTTGAGCTTCATCTCGTTTGGCTTTCTCGCGAGTTGCTTGGGTATGTGGTGCCTTTGGTTTAGGAATTTGGCTTACTAGCAGAGATGCTATGGATCGGCCAAATGTTCCCATTTGGTAGATTATTCGGGTTGATGGTATGTTCCAAATGAGGGATGGACCATCAGCCCATTACTCACAAGAGACGTTTACATTTCAATTAAAAAAGTGACCGTTCTAGTTGTCACTCAATACTACTAGACCTGTTCCTTCCTGATTGGGAAGGGGTCCACCAAAATCCTTTAATTGATATTGACACGTCCATTCTAAATAGGCTTTCAAACCTTTTTGCAATTCAGGAATATAAAATGGGGAGTGGGAATTTTACACTGAGTGATTTACACAGACTAACTCGGTGTAAAATTTCATCAGTGTAAAATTCGAAATGCACCAGGGTCAGTTACAATTTTACACATATTTGATTTTTTTACATTCCGTGTAAAAAGTCTCTGTGTAAAAATGTCAGTGCAAAAGTCTTGGACCCGGACGTGACTTTTATTTGGCCGTTGCTATTTGCCGCCCACATGAAATCCATGTAGGCGCTGTCCAAAATACGCCTACATGGATGTTTTCCGCCAAAAAGCGCCTACATACAGCCTGTAGGCGCTTTTTTCTTTTTTAAATGACGCCTACAGGCTGAAAAACCAATGTAGGCGTCATTTGTGTACGCCTACATTCTGAAAATAGTATGTAGGCGTCATTTGTGTACGCCTACATTCTATTTTTAGAATGTAGGCGCTCGAAAAAAGCGCCTACATTTCATTTGGGCTATGTAGGCGCTTTTTTTAAGCGCCTACATTCCCTCCTCTGTAAGTAGGCGCTGGCAAATGAGCACTGCTTA